CTTTTGCCTAAGTAACTAAGATTGGAATTTGAAAAACATTTAGTTACTTTGTAATTTCATTATACTTATAATGGAAGGTTTCGTCCTATCCTACCCGTTCGGCTAACGAACCTCCACTAGTCAAGAGTGCGGTGGGTAAGAGTGGATACCCATTCAATCGCCATTTTATAGGCAATTTCCTTAAACACCCTTATAGACCACTTCGTGAATGAGGCCTACTAACGGTAAGACTGACTTTTACTCATACATATATATAATGTTAGACTTTAATGTTATATATAGTATAGGGCGTATTTTATACTTTTAAAATACTATATGGTTAAATTTAAGAATTACACTTTTAATTCAATTAAATGGTTAACCTAAACTTTATGGATTTATTAAACCTCTTTTAATTATACTCCTTAATTAATTAATAAAACCATAAGGGTGTGATTTGAACTTTTCAAAACATTACTAGGGTTTTTAGAATTTAACATTTCTAATTACACTTTTAATCAACTTTTAAATTCCAAAACTTGAGGGCAACTTTTGAAACCTTTTTCAAAACATTAGGGTTTTAACTATTTAAATTTCAAAACTCCAAAACTTTTGGGCTCAAATTTAAACTATAAAACCTAAAGGGGGAAATATGAAACCTTTCATAACAACAAGGATCAAATAACAAATAATTTTAAATTAACATTTAATCACATAATTATCCATATTTGATTTATTTAATGATTTCTTTGCAAAACAATTTATCAATTTACTCAGAATAATTAATCAATTATCTTATAAGGAAACAATTATCTTGTTAATTGATAATTATCTTTAATTAGATCAAGAATATAGTCATATATATCATAAAATCGGATTTATATTGATCTAACATGATAAGGTAACTATCCATATGCAAAAACAGCAAGAAATCCCGAGATAAGCATTATCTGACGAGTTGACTCGTCGAGTCAGGCATGGACTCGTCGAGTCTGCATGGACTCGGCGAGTTCAGCCATGGACTCGGCGAGTCCAGCCTCCACATCCAAAAAATCGAATTTTCAGTTATACAATGCATCAATACAATTGAAACCAAGCTAGGCTCTGATACCACTGATGGGTTTTGGTCATAAGACATCCTATGTGCTCATACAAACCCTAATGCTCGGATCTAGGTTTCTCTATTGTACATGCTTTGAATCCAAGACTACAAACCCTAATTCTAGCATGCAAGTAATCATATTAACATGTAATTAGGTTTAAGGTCATACCTTGATTGTTATGTAGCAATAACAATCCCAAATCTCCTTGTAATGACTTTGGAAGGCTTAGAGTCACAAGTGTCACTCCTCTAATGGTTCACAAACACCATAAGCAAGAGGATGAAGAGGAGAGAGGTTGGAGGCTGCCAAAAACGTGTGTAAACCCTTACAAGAACATTAGCCACGTTTTTGAGCCTTAAGGGGTCTTTATATAGTTGGGCTATTAGGGTTATCTAACAAGGAAACCCTAATTTGGATGCTTAAGCCCTAAGCAACCCATAGACTCCTTTAATTAAGCCCATGGACGATTTCCTTATGGGTTTCCCATTAGAATTCGTCCATCCATTAATATAAGGCAATCCATGGCCCAAATTGCAATTATCCTATAATTACAATTCCAGTCCCTTAAGTTTAATTAATCTCTTTTAGTCACAAAACTAATTACCAATTAATTATTGACTAATATTAATTAAACAATACAATTTCTCCTTTAATATATTATTCTCATAATACAATAATAAATCATATTTAATCCTTACTCTCCATAATTCATCCTATCAAGTTGCTTTGGTGAAGGCAACCCAAAAGGACCATGCACCATCGGGTCAAGTACGTACCAAAATAGTTATGGACTTAGACACTAATCCAACAATTAGCCACTCGAGGCTATAACTCTGTGGGTCCGTGCACCCAAACTCTATGAACCCTCAGGTTCTAACTCTGTAAACATGCACAACATAAATCACATAGAAATAATGCAGTACAACACATAACATACATAGCATACAAATACTCTATCACGTAACTCTGGTTTACCTACTCAAGGTAAAGTATAGTGAGAAGACTCACCTTGCGTATCTCGGTAAGTCGTAAATCCTGAAATCACTAGCATTCGATCTCCCGAGCTATAGTCCTCCCATAGCACAATACATCTCTAATTAACACTTTCCACAATATAGCAACCTCCTTTGCTTCCTCTTGCCTAAAATCTCCTCCTTCTTTGCTAAATGACACACACAAGGTCAAGAAATGCTTCCTTTATCTCTCAAAACGTTCAAGCACTCAAGGGTTTCTCTCTAAGGGTTGGGTGAGCACAAATGACGGCCATAAGGCCCTTTAAATAGGTCTCAAACCCCGGAAATTAGGGTTTCACCACACATCGTGGACTCGCCGAGTCCGGACGCGAACCCGTGCCCAATACCGCGATCCTACTCGGCGAGTTTGGGCTCCAACTCGCCGAGTCCACTCACAATTTCCAAAAATAACCCAAAAATAAATACCTGGAAATTCCTGGTTGTTACACTAAAAAACTCAAATACCAAAATTGTAATATACTCTACTATATTCATATATTTTACACTTTTTTAAAAATTTCAAAAGAAAAGTTATCAAGTTGATGAAAAATAAAACGAAACAAAAAAAAAAATATAAAAATAGGAAATAATTAAAAAATAATATGAAAAATACAAAAAAGTTAAAAAAAAAAACTACAAAAAAACCAAAAAAATATGAAAATGTAAAATGTATTAATATATTAAAGTATATATTAGAATTTGGTGTTTGAGTTTTTTTTTTTTTTTTCTATTTTTCATTACTTGAATCAAAATAAATAAAAACAATACAAAAATAATAATTAATTAAATCTTTAACAAAGAAAGAAAACAAAAAGTCAAATATTGATAATGATAAATGCAAACATAAAGTTGCTAACGATATTAACCATATATATATATATATATATATATATAATATATATATATATATATATATATATATATATATAATATATATATATATATATATATATATATATATATATATATATATATAAAACATGAAGAGTACGACATAAAACTAAAAGAAAAATAAAAAATAAAAAAACATTAACGCTTTAATTTACAAATAAGAAAAGCTAAATAAAAATTAATTTCGACATAGTTATCGAATTTAAATTTATTTACTTGATTGAAAATAAATAAAAATATAACAAAAAGTCATAAATAACTAAAACTATAAAATAAAAAAGAAAATAAATTTCAAAAATCATATATTATATATATATATATATATATATATATATATATATATATATATATATATTATATATATATATAAATTTATATTTAGAATTTATATATATATTCAAAATGCGAAATTTATATATATATATATATATATATATATATATATATATATATAATATATATATATATATATATATATATATATATATATATTATAATATATATATATATATATATATATATATATAATTTCAAATTTAGAAAATTACACGAATGGTCCTTGAGGTTTGTAATATATTGCAATATTGGTACAAGGGCTAAATAATCTTTTTCCTTAAAATCTAACAGCTGAAAAGTTAGATTTAACAGCAGAAGGACCTTTCATGTAATTTTACAAACCACAGGGACCAATCACGTGACCTTTTTCTAGAAAATCTTCAAAGTGCGATGTTCTGTAAACCAAAGGGATTAATTGTGAAATTTTGTCTAGTTTCTATAATATTGGGAAACATAAGGACCATTTCTATTATTTTACTATTTAGTACGACCATTTTTGTAATTTTATGAAATGCATGGACTTTTTCTAATTTGTTATTAGGTACAGATTATTTTTATAATTTAATGAAACATAGGACTATTGTATATTTTGTGAAACATATTGATCATTTCTTTATTTTTGTGAAACAATGACTATTCTATCAAATATTCTTGTATCTCTTTCATGTTATGAAAAGGTAGAGACCATTTTATGAAATAGTCTATAAATGTAAAGATAGGTACAATTAGTTAATTTACTTAATACGAACAAAAAGTGTACGTTCTTTCTTTCTAAGATTGTTAAACTTTCATATTTATAGTTAAAAGAATGTTCCGATGATAAATAGTGAGGTTAAACTTCATATAAATAAAAGAATGTTCCGATGATAAATAATGAGGTTAAACTTCATATAAATAAAGATACATAAAAAACCGGATTTAAATCATAAGAGGGTTGAGTCTAAACCCTAACACTAACATCCCCCCACAGTTTGATTGGAAGGGATGATTCAACTGGAAAAACAAAAAAATAAAATATAACATAAATGATGATTGCGGCAGTGACGGTGGCGGAGCTCTAACGATGACAGCTAACAACAATTGCTCGTTGGAGAAGGAGAGAGAAAAAGCGATAGCCAGCGGCAATTCCTTTGTATAAGAAGATAGGGTCAACAGCAGCGACGATCATGCACCTAGCGGCAGAGGAGTCTAGAGAAAGGCAACGAGAAAGAAAGAGGATTGAGTTGCGACAGATGGAATCAATTCCAGCGAGATTGGCGACTACAATGTTAATAGAGAAAGAGACGATTGTAGATCAGACGTTGCACAAATAATAAGTGTCATACAAGGGAGGCAACAACAATATCAAAAGGTGATGAATCAGAAAAGAGATTTGTAGAAGTGGTTAGCTGAGGTGGAGATAGAAGGCTCATGAGTCATCTAAGGATGAGTCAGAAGTAGACGAGGCAGTAGAAGAAGTCGATGAAAGAGCTCTGGTTTGATGTCGATGGTTGTTTTATTATTTGAGAGAGAGAGAGAGAGAGAGAGAGAAAGAAAGAGGAAAAATATGGAGCATAATGAAGGCACCTTCGATGACTATGAGAGAATATCATCGGAGGTGGACGACAACGGTTATGGTTTGTGGTCAGCAATAGAGTTTTTAACCTAGATCTCTGATACCATTTGCATCAATATCAAATTACAAGGTGATCTGAGGGACCCCCCTTGGTGTTGGAGGAATCCAAGAAACCTTAAATTTCCCGAGAAAATTGTTGTCTTTATTTCTCGTTCTTTCACCTTCATAAACCTGAATCAGAACACCAGGTTGATTATGTGAATAGGTAGAAAACAGTTGTTCCTTTATGATTGGAATAGTTGTGTTCCTTTGAATGAGAGTAATCATAACATCATCGACAGTTTCTAAACCCAAAGAGAGAGGAGTAACATCAAAAAGAATCAAATCTTGAACTTTTTCGTTACCCTCGCCACTTAAAATTGCCACCTGGACTGGAGCACCATACGCCACCGCCTCATCAGGGTTTATGCTTTTACAGGGGTCCTTTCCATTGAAAAAATCCTGAAGAAGCTGTTGCACTTTGGGAACTCGGGTAGACCCACTGACAAGAACGACTTCGTGGATTGTGCTTTTGTCCATCTTTGCATCTCACACAAACCCTAAAATCAATAGTATAGTGCTTAAACAAACTCTCTCCATTAGTACATATACAATGACATGAAAAGGTGAAGGTCCAACGATTGGAATCGATCTCGGAACTATGTGTTCTTGTTTAGGAGTGTGGCAATATGAACGTGTGGAGATCATTGCCAATGATCAGGGTAGTAGGACGACACCGTCTTACGTAGCATTTACTGATTCTGAAAGGTTGATCGGTGATGTTGCTAAGAACCAAGTGGTGCTGAATCTGAAAAATATTGTTTTTGATGCAAAACGTCTTATTGGTCGTAGATTCAGCGATGCCTCTGTACAGAGTGACATTATGTTATGGCCTTTTAAGGCCACTCCTGGTCCAACTGAGAAACCAATAATCATCATCAATTAAAAAGGCGAGGAAAAACAGTTTGATTTAGAGGAGATCTCATCTATGGTTCTCATTAAGATGAAGGAAATCGTTGAAGCTTTTCTCGAATCAACAATCAAAAGCGTTGTATATTATCTAACACATATCATATAGGGCGTGTTTGAAACAGAGCATTTTGGAGTGTTTGAGAACTTCTAGTTTCTAGCGTTTGACAAAACGCTCCATTTAAAACAGAAAGTCTTGTTTGACAGTACAAGCTTTTAGGGTTTAGTTTAATCATATCGCTCCAAATCCAAATGCTACTTCATGTAGCATTTAACAAAATACTACATGCTACCAACTACTTGCTACAAGCTACTCGCTACCTGCTACAAGTTACTTGCTACCAACTAGTTTTGTCGAACACGCCCCTAATGAGGTGCATAACAGAGACTGGATTTTTTTAATCTGGAATCTTATTTGAGACCGAATATAGGCAAAAGCAGGTTAAAAATTATGCTATCCTATATGGTGGGCTATACATATTAAATATAGGAGGGCCAATTTAAATTTAAATTGGCCCTCCTATATTTAATATGTATAGCCCACCATATAGGATAGCATAAATTTTAACCTGCTTTTGCTTATATTATTTGGATAGTTGCATAGAACCCAAAAACTTTAAGGCCCATTTTTTTATATTATACACTTACATAGGTTGACCCAACAAGAGATTAGAAACAGACTAAGGCTAAAAAATTGAAGACTCATCAACCACACAAGAAACACACCACCATAAGACTAAAGACACACCAATAAAATTTTGAAGACCGCCTCCATGATTTATGTTCAGGTTCAACGATTCAGAAATCAAAATCAATAGCGCGGAGAGTAATATTTTCAGTTAAATGATTGATTTCTATTTTTCTTTTTGTTCCAAGCCTTGAATCAAAATTAGGTTTTCTATTTTTTCCCAAGAATCTAAAATTCTACTTATCAGATTATATTTATTACTTAGTAGAATTTAGAAATATGTTAATCTGTTCATTAGATTATCTTAATATGTAAAAGTGGATGAAATATTTTGTTTCTTTCATTGAATCGGATCCAAACATATATAATACAAAGTAGATAGCCCTAGACTATTTAGGAATGTATTTACACAATGCTATATTAACAAATGCAGAGATAATGTTGGCTACCCTATAAAACACAATAATGTAATATCATACTAATACACCCCGTTAGTCGGAACATAAGGATTTCTAATGTTAAGACTAGACTTGAAATCTTTAAATAGGATCCATTGTAAGCCTTTTGTAAATATATTTGTAAAACCTGTTTTCCAGACTGTTTAGCTTGAAAGCTAGCGGGACCAAAGATAGAGTTCTGGGGAATAACTCCATGTCACGACATGACGCATGGAAGCCCACGACATGGAAAGGTTATTTTAGTATACCAAGGATTAAAGGTTTCGAGTTTATGGTCTAAGAAGTATTATTTTGGCCAGATCTGGAATATGAGGTTATGTCTTAATCGTTTAAGACATTAGAATATGGAAGTGAGAATCTGGGAAGTACGCTGGGCGTAATCCCAGTACGCGCCGCGTAGTGGGATGCGTTCCCCATTTCTGGAATGCGAGAGTACGCCCCGCGTACAGAAGCTGGTACGCCCCGCGTACTGCTTGCTGTTGACTTTTGTTGACTTTTAGGGTTTTGTTCAACATGTGGACTTTTGAGTCAAGGAGGGGTAAAATGGTCTTTTACCCCTCTGTGGGATAGTGAAAAAGGGTGTAGCTTAGTCTTGGAAGCCTATATTAATTAGAATGATATTTCGTTGTGAATAGGCGGGGTTGGATCGTCGTTTCGAGATTCAGATATCGAGCACGTGAGATTTTAGACTTCCTACGAGGTGAGTCTTCTCACTATACTGTACCCGGAAGGGTATCTATGTGTGACCGGAAGGTCGGATATGTTATAAGATGTATGCATTGAATGTGATTAAGTTAACCGTTTTGTATGTGCTATGTATGCTATGCTTGTTATGGGTCGGAAGGCATTACGTTATGGGCCGGAAGGCATTATGACGTGGACCGGAAGGTCAGGGAGTCATGCACCGGAAGGTCGACACGGGTAGGACCGGAAGGTTTACCGGGTTGGGACGGAAGTCCCCTGAGACACATGGACCGGAAGGTCATAGCTTGGAAATGGGTATGTGTGTAAGTAGTATTTTGGGGAACTCACTAAGCATTTATGCTTACAGTTGTTGTGTTATGTGTTTCAGGTACAAGCGAGGACCGTGGGAAAGCGCCGGCATGATCTGTACACACTGTCAGAAGATTTATTTATGATCTTGGGATTTGACATGTTTTGTATTATGATTATGATACATTGGATTTTTATGGTTTGATTTGGATGAAAATATGTCTTTAAGAAATGAAAATCTGTTTTGGAAATTCACGTTGTTACAAGTTGGTATCAAAGCCTTGGTTTGAGGGATTCGGGTGCACCTTCGGGCGTAACTGAACTCAAACCGAGGATTTGCGAAAATTTTCCAATAATAAAAAAATCATAAAATTTTATAAGAGGTTTTGAGATAACCAAAGAAGGAGCAGTGTGTACGGTCAGCCAGCGCCCGAAAGGTAAAATCCCCCAAAATACGCTTACAATATGTGTTATGAGATATGTTATGATATGTTATGCATGCTAGAGTAGACTAGGTATTCATATTAGGACTAGAGTGGCATGATTTGTGATACCTTAGTCTAGGGGAATCCTGCTACTATGAGATGCATTGAGAGCGAGTAGGTAGCCAATGTATAGCGAGAATAGAGTACTTGCGTTCCGGGGTCCAAGGAGGAGGACTTGGGGTGAATGCTGATGCGGTGTAATCAGTAGTATAGGGCCCATACTACTGAAGACATCGGATCAATGAGCAACCCAAGTAAGAATCCTTTGGGTATCGGAGGCCGAGTAGGGTTGCGTTATCGAGTGCGAGTATGCTCGATCGAGTCTCTGACATTTTTATGTTGTATTTCAGAGGCATTATGGTTGGGACACGTCACAGACCTGGGATGAGCGGTGTGAGTGACGAGGAGCTTCGTCAGATGATCCACGATGAGGTGGCTGCGGTGATCAGGGCCAAGATTCCGGAGATGTTTGGGTCTATCAAGACCACACTGTTGGAGACTTTTGATGAGCAGTATGCTGCGGTGACTGAGGCTGCAGCTGCTGCAGCTACAACAGCTGTGGCTGCTGCCAGACCTCAGGGAGGTGACTCGTTGTTGTTCCGGGAGTTCAGCAACACGAAGACACCCGAGTTTGATGGGACGCAGGATCTGATCGCTGTGATGAGATGAATTGCTAACATTGAGGGATGCTTCTATACGTGTTCATGTCCGGAGCATCTGAGGGTACAGTTCGCTTTGAACCGGCTCCGCCTGGGAGCGAAGGATTGGTGGAAGTTCGTGACAGCGAACTTCACTCTTACAGAGATTTCAGCAGTTACCTGGGAGAAGTTCACCACTATGTTCAGATATGAGTATGTTCCCCCTGTGGAGAGGGAAGGGATGATTCAGGAGTTCTTGACCCTTAAGCAAGGTAATGATTCAGTTACTGTGGTCACCCAGAAGTTTCATGAGAGGGCGATGTTCTGCCCTCAGAAGGTGTCTACTGAGCAGGAACGGATGAGCCGATATTTGGGTATTCTGAGGAGGGACATTCGGGAGTTCGTATCGAACTCGACGTACCGGACATTTGCTAAGCTCCAGGAAAATGCCCGAAAGAGGGAGATTGAGTTGGAGACTCAAGCTAGGGAGGAGGCCGAGTCTCAGAGATTGGATAGGCGGTCAGTTCAGTCTCAGCCGTCAGCCAAGCGAGCCAAGTCCGCCAATTCGAGGACGGAAGGCCAGAAGGGCCGCACTTGCGGAAAGTGCAGCAAGGGTCATGAGGGGGCCTATCGATCGGGTGCTTGCTACAAATGTGGCAAAGAGGGGCATATCACCAGGGATTGCCCCAAGGGATTTAGGGTTTGCTTCCATTGCAACCAGACCGGCCATCAGAAGGCCGAGTGTCCTCAGCTACACCAGGGATTAGTACAGAGATCTGCGCCTGTTGCTAGGGTTACCGATATTCGACCGGCGAAGGCCGAGGCTCCGAAGGCTCGTGGGAGAGCTTTTCAGTTGACTGCGGAGGAGGTCTGTGCGACGCCCGATGTTGTGCCTGGTATGTATTCTTTCGTGTATTTACTTTCATGTTGAGATATTCTGCTTATATTATGATATGCGTAGGTACTTTTCTTGTGAATTTGTACCTGGCTTGGTATTTTTGACTCGGGTGCGAGTCGGTCTTTTGTATCTTTGGCTTTTAGTCAGCACATCAGTATTGATCGGGAAGTGATGAGTCGATCCCTGAGGGTTTCCATAGCTGGTGAGAAAGCGGTATATGCCACCGAGGTGATTCGAGAATGTGTGCTCGAGATTTTTGGTGTCAAGTTCCCAATTGATCTAGTTCCTATCGCGATGGGAGATGTTTGTGTCATCGTGGGCATGGAGTGGTTGAGTAAGTTTGGAGTGGTTATTGACTGCGAGAGACAGCTGGTGACCATACGAGACCCTAGTGAGGGAGTGCTTACTGTG